AGCTGGTCTTACTCTAAAGCTACTCAGCAGTATGACGTCTGCTTCAGCTCAGACACGCTCAAGAGTGACGTAGTGGTTTTCCCCGGACCGTTTCCGCCTGTAGATGCGGAGCTGATCAGTATTAACGGAGGAGACACTTTCAACAGGACTCAGACTTTACCCACCAAAGAGAAGGTAGGCAATTTGTGCTGGATGCTTTGAAAATCTAATAATGATGAAAAACACGACATTTCCTTTACTGCTTATTATTTGAGGTGATTCAACAGAAGTCAAATAACCCATCATAGTTAAGGCAAAGGTTTTCATGTTAGTCCAACTGTACTTTAAGGCAAATCATGTTTTAGACTGTTTGCTGGACCACAAGTATAACAATTTCTAGACATTCTAGATTTGATGCCATGTATTTTCTACCGTCAGCGGTCTAGACCAACATTCCATTTTTCAACTATTTTTAAATAAAATGGTTATGTTGCTTCAGGAGGATTGAACTTGTTCATAGTCAGTATTTTGATATTACTCTCTGCCGGGGAGAAACCTGCCTTTGTGTCATTCAGCTGAAAATCTACTTCTTTCATTCATGTTGGCAAACTTTTATTAGACATTACAAGAATTCAAGATGGTTTTGACTGAACTGAAACAGTGATGGCAGTAGTGCTGAGCTTGTAACCTCATATGTAGCAGGTTCAACTCAGCTGAGGTCTGTAAAGCCTCCTTAAACTGAATGCAGTGAAAACGAACTGTCCATGGTGCTAGACTTACTGATGGCGGGATGTGATTTCGTAACCACGCTGGAAATAAACAATATCTCTTTAATTTATGCCTCATTCCTGAAATAGACAATGTGACGTAAGGTATTAAATGTAACTGTAACATTATTTCTGGGTATTTTGGAGTACTTGTACTTTACAATTACTTGTTCAGCCACTAAAGTCTTTAGCTTTTCCATCCACTAGTGGTTGTCATATTAAATATTCAAAAGGTAAACCTATTAATTTCTGTAATCCATAAAGTTTTCAATGAGGTGACGATATGTTACACACTGGGTTGTATTTCATTACCCATCATTCACCACATGAGGTCGCAGGAGACCATAGCCATGAATGTGTACGTGTACGTCCAAAACTCCTCCCTGCTTGGGGAAAAAAATAAATCGTCATCAGGCTTTAATACACCCACAGAAGGTGCCGTGACGAGAAGAGCAGGAGCTTCCCCACAACAATCGAGCTTTGGGTGGAAATATCACTGCTGAGGATAAATGATCGACTGGGCTCAGTTCTTATGTTACAATGTATATTCGAAGAGAAAGTCACCTCATCTGGATTCACGTCGTAACGTGGCTTTGTCTTTGTGACTGGTCCGCCTCACAGTTATCCTACTCGATTTCTGAGGAGGTGAACAAAGGCACCGTAGTGGGGAATATCGCAAAGGATTTAAACATCAACCTGCAGGAACTGGAAGCCAGAGATCTGCGTATTGTTTCGAGTTACAGTAAGAAATATTTTGAGGTGAATTTGCGGACCGGGAACCTCTTTGTCGACGAGAGAATAGACCGAGAAGAGCTTTGTCCTACTGTTGAAAAATGCTTGTTGAAAATACAAGCTGTTTTAAACAACCCCATGACTGCACACCGCGTAGAGATCAGTGTTTTGGATGTAAACGACAATTCACCTGCTTTTATTGAAAAAACGTATTATTTGAATATTTCTGAATCATCGTTGACGGGAGAGCGATATTTTCTCCCCATAGCAGTAGATGCAGACATCGGTGGGAATTCAGTGAAGACGTACAAGCTGAGTCAAAATGAACATTTCTCTCTTGACGTACAAAGCGGTGGAGAACACGGTGTGTCTGCTGAGTTAGTGCTGCAGAAAGCTTTAGATCGAGAGAAACAGTCGGTAATTAAACTTGTCCTGACCGCTGTAGATGGAGGCAGGCCGCCACGAACGGGTTCATTACAATTAATTGTTAATGTAATAGACGTCAATGATAATATACCAACTTTCAGTAAATCTCTTTACAAGGTGCGTGTCAAAGAAAACGCGTCTCCTGGTTCACTTGTTATTAAGTTAAATGCAACCGATGCAGACGAGGGCATGAACAGTAAGATCCTGTATTCCTTTCTCAAACGAGGTAATATTGATCCATCAAATATTTTTGATCTTAATTCAGAAACTGGAGAAATTACTGTGAAGGGAACATTAGATTATGAAGAGACTCCTGCTTATGAGGTCAGAGTTCAAGCGATGGATCAAGGTCCTGTTCCTCGTAGCGCACATGCTAAATTACTGATCGAGATAATTGATGTGAA